AAAAGAATGAAAAATAAAAGCTAGTTAGTCAACAAGAGTAGTGGCATCACTTCATCCATGTCACTTCTATGGCAATATGCAAAACTGGATATTCACACTACATTCATTTGTTTATTTTAATGGATTGCATAAAAGAATGTGGTAAGTTCTGTGTGATATATTTCATAATCGTGTGTCTGTGTCTGTATGTCTGTATGTCCATTAAAAATTAGTTCATTCATCACAGCAACTAGAAAACGATTAGCCTTTTTGCATATGCAATAGAAATGAAAAATAAAACAAGAGAATTTTGACTGAGTATATCCAACAAACATCATGTTGCATGATGTGAATTGTTTTTCATACATTTTTCATTGCATGTGATATGATATGATGGATATTTGTAAATTTACTCAAAGCATTTATTTCACTTTTATGGAATTTTATTGCATTTTCATTTCTCACTCATATCTTCCTAGTGCTGTTGCTGCATACATACTTCATAAATGTGATAATCGTTCTTCTTCATCATCATGATTGTCTTTATTTGCATAACACACTGCATAGGCACTGCTAAATACACAAAAAATAAATGTACAATATGATTGTTGAGTTTTTGTGTATAGGAACAATAAGAATGCAGTCAGTGCGTATGGCAATTAAAATTCTTTGTAATCTGCCTCTTGCTAGTTACTGACTATCTGACTGACTGGATGAAAAGTAAGGTAATTAAAGCTCTTAAATGCCGACAATTTAAATATTTACAGGAACAAATTAGAAATGAATTTCGTGCATGTCACAATCTCATTGTTGTTGCATCAACTTGCATCACATTTTGGACTATAACGTGAGATACGGTAAGTGACAACGGCACTAAGTTAAAGGAAACAGCAAACAGTAGATAATAAAAATCACTTTCATCTCGCTCGCGTTTTGTTTGAACAAGTTCACGTCACGTAAGTAAACATTTTGATGCTTCTTCATCTTCTTGCGGCAGGTGATTCTCATTTTGAGCTTCAAATTTTGTTTGACTGCAGATTGTTTAACTTAGTTGATGACGAGTTGAAAATTAATTTTTAATCATGCTAAGTTTCGATGGTCACAAATGACAAAGACTTGATTTGAACAGTGGCTGACACAAGTTTCTATTTCAAGTGCTTAAAACCTTTGCTACACGACTGAAACAAATTTATTGAGTATCCTGGTAGAAGACGTTTCATAAGAATTACAAATAAATCTGATGATTTACACGACTTCCACCCTTTAAGTTCCACATTCACTCTTTCATTTTCGTCGCTATTAAATTCATAAATAATTTTTCTTGGTTTGAGTGAAGAATTAAAATAAATTTCAAGTTGGTGGCAAAAAGAAGGAAGTGGAAATGATTTTGTGAGCATACAAATAAACATAAATTCATTTAGACATTCAGCTCGAGTTGACTTTTATTTCTAGTGACTAAAAAATGAAAATGAAAATTTGTGACTCGAGATCTCGATATTATATTAAAAATTATGAATTTTCCATTCGTCGTGGCATTAATTTAATACTTTTTGCACATAAATTTTACTTTTCTTTTGCTTAGCAAATACAAAAACTTACCAGAATGTGTGAGGATGAGTGAGGGTGTGGGTGAGAGAAGAGAAATGTTGGATGAGTGACGACGATGGATGGTGATAAAAAAGGGAAAATATTCCAACAAACCAGTCAAGCAGGCAAGCTACGAGGCAGAAATTTTGAAACCCTCATTCATAAGCATGAAATTATTTCTCCTCGATATTGTGCCGCATTATTATATAGACGGCAGGCAGCAGTCGTAGCAGCAACTGTGAAAATGGAAAGGCAAATTATGAAAAACTTGAATCTTATATCATTTTTATATCAAATGAAATAAATAAGTTTTATTATTTTAATGACTCATAATTTTAAGTTAATTTTCCTTCTTTTTTCTGCCTTCTTTCCTTCTTCTGCTTCCCCTTTTTAGTGCCTGCCTCATTGCTTTTGCTTGTAGATTGTTAGAAGAAATGAATTTTGTGAATGTTCGCTTGGTGTCGTAGAAGGATGGGTGTTCTTTATTTCATCGGATAAGGAGGACTTAGAGTGAGGTTTCATTGATGGAATGGGAATTGAATGAGAAGCTTGAATGACTGTTTGTTTAATTTTGGAATGAAAGGCAATTAAAATTTTCTTTTTTTCTTGCTATTCAAATTTTTCACCCGCAACACCATTTTATGAATTTATTTAATTTTATCAGCCATGCTTTTTGTTGGTTCCATTAGATTCCATCACTGTTCGACATGATTCAGGACCGATGGTAGATCTTGTGGAGTCATTCATTAATGATCTTAATGTTATCAACATTTTTCTTCGTACATTCAAGCAATACAAATTTTCGGATCCCATTGGACAACATAAGTAAAAGACCCTATGCTGCTTTTTATCTGCAAGCATCAAAATTAGAATTTTTCATCAAATTCCACAATGAAAATATTTTAAAAAAGAGGATGGATTTAGACCATAATGGATGTAAAGCATAAAGCTGTAAAGGCAGAAAAATTCCATCAAATTTATGTTCATTGTGGATTCAGAACTAACACTTTTGTATATTTTTATTCATTCCTTCATTTTCATATTTGTTCTTTATACTTTTTTTTTTTGGGTAACAAAAAATGTGAAATAAATTCATAAATTTTCCTCCTCCTTCCTATTTTCAACTAGACTCTGCTGCTGCCTGCCTTTTTTCGTGTGATATTTACATAGCAATTTTATCCAATTTATGATTGAAAGGGATCTAGCATCAGAAGAAGCAGGCATCAAACAACAAGCAAGTGGAAGTAGAAAATGGCAATGAAATGAATTTTGATGATTTAGTGAAATGGCAAAAATGTGTTTCCATAATCGTAATTTAAATTTTTATGCTGCTCGTTCCCTAGAACTGATTGCTGTATATCAATATTAACTGATGTTTGTGTACCAATATCAAGCAACAGACAATAATTTTGTTTATAAAGATGTTCAATATTGGAAGTAACAGCATCGAGGAGAGTGGAAACATGCGGTGAATGCATATAATTTACATAACATTGTATTGAATCTTCATGAGTGCATTGAAAGACAAATAATTGTGTCAGACATTGAAATCAGACCATCAGTTAGAAAGCATCATTGGAAATGATGAGCATCGGCGCCACATAAAAATGAGAACATGCATGCTGCTGCAGTGCACTTAAATTGCCGTACTTTTTTTGGTTTACATTAAAGCAATAAAAGCAATTAATTCAAATTATTTAGATGGATTGGAAGTTGCTTGTCGAGAGAAAATGAGAGACTAATAAATTAATAGATAGACACGATGGACGTGGAGAATAGAGAGCAAGAAGGAAAAAGATTCTTAAGTCGGCAGACATTGATGATAGATGGATGAGTCGATGAGAGAAATTTTCGACTTCAGATTCAAATAAATTTTTCATTCTCAAAATTGTTTACATTAAAATGACTTTTACAATGAATAGATTCGAGGGATCACAATAATCAGGCATACGAGTGTGTGTGAGAAATGGAAATTTATGTGTTGACATGAAAAGATAAATGTTCAGCACAACAGAAGAAAAAATTTGAAAGCCAGAAAAGTCAGAATGAGAATGAAGGAGGAATTAATTGAAAAACAAATCGTTGTCTAATTTATTTGGCGCTAAATGAACAAATTCGGCGCGTATAATGAACAGCAGAAGCAACAGCATGGTGAGGAGATATAGAGTTGAAAAATTGATGAATTTCTGCAGCCACAAAACCTGTAGAAAAAAAAATCATTTTTATTTATTTTAGTGCTGAATAATTTAGTGATTTTCAATATTTATACAATTTAAGGTGTTAGAAGATGAAAGAGAAGGCTGAAGTTTTGTGATTTGTAAAAAAGGAAATGAATTGGAATCTGTAAGACAGATGCTCGTGTATGAATATTGATGAATTTTCAATAGTTTGAGTCTGCAAAAATTCCACACGTCATGTCAAGCAGCGGCATCAGATGAAAAGATGATAAAAGAAATAAACATAAAAAATAATTTTCAACTGATGACAAATTTATCTCTTTTTGCTTATTGAACATTCACATTTTATCTTTTCACATTTTTTATACACAAAAAAAAATTCAATACTTAAATATTGGAATTAATTCGACTGATTCCACTGTTTAATTAACTCTTTTGCGAGCGAGTCATAAAATTTTATTATAATTCTTTTTTTTTCCTCTACTGATGTGGCTGATCTCTCTTCTTCATGTACATTTTTGTGTATTGGATGATGTTTTAAGCTTCATTTTGGAAACAAAGTTTGGAAGTGAATATGCGTTGAATTGCAATCATAGCGCGTTTGTTTCTTACATTATGGCTAGGGCCGTAAGGTTCATTTAGAGAAGTCTAAACCCTCATTCAGTTAACGACAATTCTTCAAAAGGTCTGTTTAAGCAAAAGTTTGCAGCTTTCTATAGTGTAATGAGCTCAATAACACTTCAAAATGCCTATATCCTTCAATTATTATCATAAAAATGCGCTAAAATCAAATAAAGTAAAATACCTTACCTGCTAAATGATTAACAAGCTTTTACAGTTAAAAGAAGTCAAAATCCTGTTTAATTTGACTTTTATGTCGACTTCCAATTTATTTAATTGCTGAAAGGTTTCTTTCATCTTTTGGCACTTCATTAAAAGTTATTGAAGAAGCAAGAAAAGTAAGAAAAAAAAATACTTTGAATCTCTTCGATCGGTCATCAAATTTTATTTTATTCGTTTCTCTGAATCTCGTAAAATTATGGATATATAAAAATATATATTTAATGTAGATAAGGGGCCGTTCACTTATTACATAACGCTTTTAGGGGGGAGGGGGGTCTAAGATTTTGTTACGGTTCAAACAAAAGAATTTTTTTTTCATACAAATTTTGTTACGAGGGGGGAGGGGGGGTCTAAAAAGTAGTTTTTTCGCGTTACGTAATAAGTGAACGGCCCCTAAGTGAAATGCATGCGATTCTAAGTCTTTTTTGAAATATTATGAATATTCAATAAATGTTTATGATACTCCTTCATGTAATTGCATTTAAATCGCAAGTTTTCATCATCGACCGTGCAGTAAATGCACTCATACATAAAGCGTCCTTCATGCTTCTTGCTACTTAGTACATGTTTACGTAAATTCTCCTATCATAAAGTGGAGAGGAAAATAAAATAAAATATAAGCATATGTATATCCACATATTATTTTTAAATAATTATTCCACTCATTTAAATCACAGATAATAAACATAAAACTCACAGAATTATTGCAAGCGTAGTCGCAAAAATTGCATTTATAAATTTTCCCTTGATCCGCTTCGTGAATTCGCATATGTCGTTTAAGATGGCTTGATAGCTTTGTTTTATAATCGCAATGTTCACAACAGAATCTGAACTCCAGTTCTTGATGCTTATGAGAATGACTGTATGGAATGAAATGAGAAATTTATTACAAATAATTCTGAGGATAAGAAACTGAGAAGAATTTGCTTATTAGCAGTCGTATAAAGCTTCACATCCACCAAATAGCAATAATAAGATATTTATTGAATATCAATTTGAGAGACATTTTAAAACTTTTTGTGAACTCCTTATAAGTTCGATAAGAAAGAAATAACAATTGAACATTGAACTATCGCAGCAGTAACCAGTCAATAAGAAACGGAATCAGTAGCGCTTATCGGGTTGCTAACGTTTTCTTGTGCAGTTTAAAGGACGTTGGTGATGATTCTATTTGTTCATATTTTCTGACTGACTGACTGGGCTTTATTGTGAGTTATATATTTACTTTATTTTAAAATTTAAAGACGGTCTAAGGCTGTTCCAAGTCTTTTCCGTTGATCTGAGTGGTTTGTTGGACATAGGACTTGACAATATGAGCAGTGAACCTGAGCCAAACAAAGAATATATATGAATTAAAATAGCTCAGGTAAAAGCTATGTGATAAACCCTCCTTTAATGTAACTTGTTATTATCCTGGAATTTTATTTATTAAGGAAAAACAGGTCTAGGTGGACTCAAAAATTATTATAATCAGACTCATGTCTTCTGCTCAAAAAGAAAGCTTTAACAAATATCAAGAGACTTAAAAAATTGAAATTTTACGCAATATAGCAGAATAAAATTCATAATGATGCAATATTCAGGATAATACTTAATAAAATTTAATTAAAGCTCAATTACTCATTAAATAAACCATTAAAATTTGCATTTAAATTAATTTAAGTAAAATTTAAATTCATTAAGACTCCAAAAATCAAACAAACAAAAGTATTAAATTGTCAGCTTCTAACCACACATAATGCTGTGACTAATTCAATTACACAAAAAAAATGCACTCTGTTCACGTGCACAATGACATCATTCTAACTAGTCTCTCCTTAGTTGAGCTCATTGCAATATTTTCGCTCTGTCTTTTTACATACCAGCATCAAATCAGATTTGATACAATTTTCATTTCATTGTATGAACTAAAATGGTAAGGAAATCGTGACTTATTCAATAATACGTATATAAAAATGCAAAATGCACAATTGCAATTTCTCCTCCTCGTCTCCCCATACTTTTTTTTTTCTTCATTTCTTTTTATGTTTTGATGCAGCCAATAATTTAAAATGCACAACAACAAGCATCATTGAAAGGTAAGTTTTACTACGCCAAGTAACAGCAGAAGCATAAAAATGGTGAATTAATAAGAAAGGAAAAGAAAAAACAAAGAACTTGTACGGCAAGACGAGAAGAAAAAAAAAGTATTGAGAATAAATTACATCGAAAAAATGTAACAAAAGCAACATAATCTTAAGGAAGAGAATGAACATGAGAGGAAGAAATATGTTGCTTTGTGATTATAATAATGCAACACAAGCGAAAAAGCTTGACTGAAATGGATGGAATTGTCGTGTAAATATTTTTAATTGCATGTTTTCATCGCCAATTGACCAAAAAAGTAACCTCCTCAGCGATTCATTGCTGATATGAAAGGTAAATTGTACAAGAGAGGTTTTTGTGCGTCATTTGAGGAAAATTGGAGTGGAAACTTCGGTTCATTAAGCTTAGTTGTCGTATTGAAGGTTCAGATTTTGGCCAAAAAATTGATTTTTTTGCATTGCAACTTTAAAGTTTTAAAATATTGATCAATTGCCATCTTTTTGACTGAAAGACTCAATAATTCTACAGAATTAGAGTGCGAAGTTGAAACAGATGGATCATGGCCACGCTTATGGTGGTAACTTAACCTTTCAAACTTTTAAACAATTGCTGATTTTGGAACCAGCAAACCAACTTTTAAGTTTTAAAAGATTAAGTTACAGCATCAAACCACAAAATTATGCTAATCCATCTCAACTAAGCAAAAATTCCTCGAAATTACTAAATTATTGATCGCAATTGACCGATAAATTATATTCATCCATTAAGCAAAATTTCCAGGAACTCTGACCCATTCAATCCAATTTTATTGCTACTTATAAAAAATTTATATTAATGACAATATAAAGTTCGTGAACGGTCACTTATTATCGAGACAAGATCGTCTGGCATGCATACTTAAAGTAATAATAATATTCTATAATGCTATTGAATCACAAGCAAGTAAAAGGCACAAGAAGTAAGAAGAATTTTTCTTACCTTTTCAATTGTTCCATTGTTTCTGCTTGATAATCGCAATTTTGTTGTGTACAAATGAACAATTTCTCATCATTATGATCAAGTAAATGATTCCTTGCATTTACAGAGTTATGTTCAACGTAAATGCAACTTGATATTAGACATGCTGATGTTTTTGTTTCAATTTTCTTGCGATGAATGAGCTGGTGTTGCTCTAGAATGAATCTAGTGAAAGAAATTGTAAAGTTATTACTGAAATTAACTAAAATAAAGGAACGAGGACAATAAATTAAGTTCCTTTATTCACATTTTAGTTGTAGTTGGAAGAAAAAATAAATACAAAAAAAATGGCAGCAGCAAAAAAAAGTTGGTCGATGTCTGCAGTAGTAATCGGATAAAATGGCTAGAATAGAAGAAAAAGGAATGTACAAAGCAGCAAAAGTTGAGCAGAGCGACACAAAATGGAAATGGAAAAATCATCATCATAATTCAAAAGCTGTCAGAAAAAGATTTTCAATTTTTTCATTGCACATTTCGCCTGTATGGCGTTCCTTTCTCTCTGTCCCTGTCTCACTCACTCAGTCAGAGACTTCATAGCTTTTTTTCACATTTTCTGTTCTTCACAGTGTATTTTTGGCCATCCCTCTTTCAATTTTTAGCTTTTTAGTTCACAACTCAAACAAAAGTCTTTCCTCAATTCCTATATGCTGTATACATTTTATGCTGCACATGACTGAAAGACATGTCTAGAGCTGAACATTCCGTTCTATTCTTTCTTCTTTTTCTATCTATGAACTTTTCATGATGATGACATTGCCTGTTCTATGATGCTGCATATGCAGTTCTTCTTCTTTTCCTTGCTTGTTATTTTGTATTTTTATAGATTTTTTCTAGTCAGAAAAGAAATGAATGACTGCTATTACGACGACAACGAGGATGAGGAAGAAGAAAAGTGAAAAATGTTCTACTGCATAGTTACTTGGTGCTTGCTGCTGCTCATTTTCATATTGAGAAGCACAGTCATAGTCGTCCATTGTAGAAAATGGCAAGGATATTGGAATAAATAATGGAAATAAAAATTAAATGTGAACCATTTAGCCACCGAAATGAAAGAAGTCATCATCTTCATAGTCATTGTCACTGCTTCTACTGAAGATACAGAAACAGAAACAGTCACAGAAGCAAAAATTTATTTATTATCGAGACATGTTTTGTCTTCATTGCTATTTTCAGTTATGTGCTCATTCCCATTTCATCTTATTTGTGTGATGATGATGCTTCTACCTTTTTTGTGCTTCTGCTACAGCACTTGCTATTCTTTATCCTCAATCTCCCAATATTCATTCTCGTTTTCAAAAAATAGAATGTATACACGTCTCATTTCAAATGGAGAACAAACATTGAGCAAAAATTATTTTTATTTTATTTTTTATTCATCTTCAACCCCCCCATTCCAGTTCTATCCCTTCTCAGCCTTTCCTTCTTTATTATTTCTCTCGAACATACAACTGGTAAAAAAAAATCCCTCAAACTCGATACATGAGAAGAAAGAAAGGAAAGGAAAAAAAGCTATTTCAATGCTCTACAGCAGTAGCTACACAGCATTATTGTTCTTTCTCTCTGTGTGTCTAGGTATTTAAATTTTATTTTAATGTTTGTACTGAGCATTAATTTTTATAATCCATTCATAAATTTAATTAAAACAAAACAATCCATGTCGTTTCTTTTTGTTTCTTCTTCTATTACTTTTATGTTGCTATTGCCACTGCTGCTATTTAGCATTTTTCTTCATCATCCTCTGCTCATCCTAACACCCAAATGAATTACAATTTTTTCCAAACTATCTCCTGTTCTCTCGAAAGAGGTGATGAAACTTTTTTTAAAATTACCCTTTTCTGAAATTTTAAATTCAATTTGAAGTTTCCATCTATAAATATTGTTGTTGACGCATTCTCTTACAATCTAAAGATCTCAAAAACAATTGAAATTAAATTCAACAATTCAATCCGTACCCAACCCAGCCAAGAAACTTACAGACAACACAAAAATATCGACTATAACTTTTCATACACTAGCTCTGAAAATTATGAATAGCCTCAAAAACAAAACTATAAAAAAAAAGAATTCAACTCACTTGCTAAGAAACTTTTTGCCACAAATTTTACACACAAATGGCGATGATGTCGATGTGGATGGCTCTGAATTTCTTTTATGAACATTTCGAACATGATTTTTAAGATTAGCCTTTCGAGTAAAACTCATTGGACATGCTTGAATGGGACAATTGAAAATTCTCTCATTTGTATGCTGACGCAAATGCTCTCGTAATGACTGCTTGCGAAAAAATTTCTTACATACACTGCACTGTAATTTTACGGTTGATTTTTGTTCCGTTGGCACTTGATGAAGAATTTCGTGAAATAGAAATTCGGCATGTGATTCGGAGCTGTAATTACAGGAGTTGATTGAAATTAACAGATCGATATAAAGAAATTATCATTAAGCACCTAAATCCACACATTTTACATGTGAACTGAATTTCAACAATCTGTTCGACTTTATTGTCTATTTCACCAATTATCATTTCGTACTCATTGTCTTCATCTGTCTCGTTATTTCTAGTTTCGCTTATTTGGAATGCAGATGGTGAAAGTATTTCGGAGAAATTATTTTCGATTAAATCTATGCCTTGAGATGGACTTTCTTCTTCAACTGATTCTATAGACGTAGTTGGAACTTTATCATCGTCATCATCATTTTCCGTACTCATACTTGGATACTTAATTGAATCAGAAGTAATTAAGGCAAAACTTTTTATAGAACTCTGGGATGTTGATGTCTCAGCATTTTCAACTATTACTTTTTCTTCTGTTTGAACTTCTCCTCCTTCATTGGATGTGATAGTACACGTCGTTGACTGTTCAGTTTTGTTCGTGTTATAAAACTTGCATAATTTATCTCGGACGTGTCTCGAAATTTCCTGAGCTATTGCAAATTTCATACCACAACGTCCACAACTATAGTTTTTTTTCAGTCATCATCATATTATCATCATCGTCATCAGCAATTCAGTGTTGGATAAAGTAGAAAATTCAATTAAATATTTTTTTACTAGATTGAAAAGTGCAGGGGGTAAAGTTTGAGAAAACAGGTTCTTAAAAGAATAAAAGCGCATTTATTCTGCTTCAGGGGTTCATGGGTATGTCTTTGATTTTGAAACTTCCAATAATACTATCTTTATTCTCATTAAAGCATCTTTTTGCAAAAAGTAAAGAAACTTAACAAAAGTCATACCAAAAAATCTTCCGATAGCTTCCAGTTCATTATTAAGCATAAATTGTTCAAAATATGCGCATATCATTTCAAACCCAGTGCTGAACGTCGAAAAATTAAATTAATATTTTTTCCTCACCTAAATTTACGCTCAGGATGAAATTCATGGATGTGCTGCTTTAATTGAATTATATCCATTTGCTCTTCCTTACATATCGGGCATTTCTTCTTCATTCGCTCTTTCATTTGCGGATCATTTAGAATTCTCTTTCGTGAAGCTAATGTTTTGTGTTGATTCGTTCTACGATGTGATTTCGCCTCATCTGCTGTATCGAATGTCAATTGGCATTCGGAGCAGAAGAAAATGGAAATTCTGTGGGCCTTAATTTTATGCTTTTGTAACGATAATCCCGATTGAAAGGCTTTATCGCACATATCACAATTGAAAATTTCATTGAATATAAATTTATCCGTCGATTTAAATTTACAGTCTTTCATATGATGCATTAACTGAATATTATATCGAAATTCCTGTCGACATTGTTTACATAAAAGTCGAGTTATGTAGCGTATTATAATCGGTTTGGAGCGATTGATCAAAGTAACAACTTGTTGATGCTCTACACTATCTAAATGCTCTGTCATTTCAGCATTCGATACGCATTCAAATTTACAAAACGATGAACATAAAAATTTTCCACCAACAAGCTTAGTGACAGTCTCGGTATGCTCTATTGAATTCCAATGTCGCGTAAACTCTTCTCGTGTATTGAAATAGAATTTGCATGGTTGACACTGAAAGGGCGATTGTATCACAATTTTATGGAAATTATTCAGAACAGAATCGAAGGATTTTTTAGGATTCAGCAGCATTTTTCGATAGTGAAAATGTGATATCAAATGGTTGCCAAATAAATGAACCGGTAATTTCATATCGCACTCCTCACATGTTATTTTTGTACGTGATCGAAATTTTTTCTTCCTTTTTATTATTCTCTTTGCTACATTGCTATCCTCTGGCTCTGACGAACCGTTTCTATAAATATTCCTTCCATTACTATCCACGTCAACAACAAAATCATCATCATCATCATCATGACCTGTTCGTGTGATGGGCGTTGATATAGTTGCTCGATCAAGTATTTCACTCTCGATTTCGATTATTTCTGTATTCTCATCTGCCGTTTTCTTTTTACTTGGTATTACTGTCGTAGAACTTATTTTATTTCTTTCCTCAGGGGTCTTTTGTTGTTGCTTCTGTTGCTCCTTGTCGAAATGTGTTGAAAGTTCATTGAGATTTCTAAGTGGCAAACTTTCACCTGCGTCCTCCAATTCATTTTGTTGCTTTGTACGCTTTTTATGTAAATTTGACTTTAAGTGTCTCTCATAAATTGCTTTTGTTGCAAGACTTCGGCAGCAGTAACGACACCAAAAACTATCACGTTCAGTTTTTTCATCAATTTTCTCATCTTTAAATTCTAGTCGAGAGATTTTTGTACCGGGAATCCATTTACCTTTTGTATGACTTGGTGGGGGATTTCTATCATCAATTTCTAAAGATTTATCTAAGCCATCATTTGACGATTCATTTTCATTTAGTTCCCAATTTGTTGTTTTGGTAATATCATCCATGTCGGTTTTCCATTTTCCACTAAAATTATTCAAAATACGTGATCCTGGTTTCCATTTGCCACGCGTATAATTTCTCGGAGGCACTGCTGGTTCCGAATCATCCGAGTCAGTGGACTCATTTGACTCATTATGATAGTACTTATTATAAGCATCTTCATCGTCTTTCTTGTTTATCCCAACAACATTTGTGTCGTCAATCCATTCATCCCCATTTTGAGCCATTATGGCAGCAGTCGCTTTTCTTGTCATAATACGATGATGATGATTAAAATTCTTCCCCCCTCTTGCTTGTGGTATGTCTCGCTTAGTTGACATACATTGAAGCTCCAATGATGAGAAAAAGTCATAATCATATTCCTTAAATTCCGACTCTGTAGATTTGTTATTTTGCTCGGCACTAATCCCAACATCATCATCTTCTTCTTCTTCTTCATCGTCGCTTTCGTCGTCTCCAAAATTAAAATCATCTTCATAACTCTGTATCTTCTTATTAGTATGCGAATCAAGAAAACTAAAATTTGGAGAAAACTGCTTTGACGAAGATTTTGTTTGCGTTCTGCATTGACTTTGTCGATGATTAACATAATTTTGCAATCCAATTATCGTTTGATTACATCGGATGCATAAGTGAGAATCTTCTTCATCAAGCTCCATACTCTTTAATATTCGATTTGGTATCTAAAGGATATTAAATGCTTATAAATATGTTATAACAATTTGTGAAAGGATAGGTGTGCATGTGATAATTAAGTATTAAATGCAGCATATTCAAAAAAGTTGAGACATGTTTCATTAATTTGAATGGTCAGCAAATTCTGTAATATATAAAAGGAATCTTAATTTCCATTGCTTTGGTCGTAGATTGTTTTGTTAGCTTCAATATAGCAGCTTTATGATGATTAGCTCCTATTGACTTCACTGTGAATATAGCTGCTTTGCTGGAGCGCAATTTACAATATTTTATGAAATTTAATTTCATTCTTTGAAACTCTATTGATGTTGAATGCTCAATCATGTTTCATAGATTCAATGTTTTAAAAGAATGCTTTATTATTGTTTGGTTTTTAAGTTGAAATAATATAAAAATATTTATTTTCGCTTCTGTTTTTGGAAGTAATAAAGTTAATTATAGTATTATCCCTTATTAAAAGTATCATAACTTCTACTATTAATCAAAATCTTTTTAACATTGAGCATTTTTATCAAATTTTAAGGATGTTTGTGTATAATTGTAAACAACATTGTTAAAATGAGAAAATTGCGAGTTAAATTGTCTATTGATTCAAATTTTGTTCATCTTAGGCAGTTGATCTTTAATATAAATACTTATAAGTCTAACAAATCAGTAAAATAACACTAAATTATCATTTAATCACTTTAAATTAATTTTTATATTCAACGACTTTAACTACGACTTTATTAAACCGTAATGTTGAGTGACTATCAAACAATGATTTTTCAATGTTTCATTGATTGCTGATGTTGAAGAAATTTTGTTTAAATAATTTTCAAACATTAAAATCTTTGTAAAACTGATTCCATGAGATCATGACTTCTATAAAGCCTTTAAGATAGCTTTTTCAGTAATGTTAAACTGCAGGACTAAAATATTTTCTTGTCAATTAATTTATGAAAATCTAATTCATTTTAATTCAATGTTTACAATGCTATTGCTATGATTAAGCACCTTAATAAAACCAAAATCATCAACATTTTAACTGCAATAAATTACTGCTGAAAGATAATCTCTTGTAGTCATTCTAAAATATCTCATTTGATTAACTTTTATTCTTTACGCTCAGTATAGTTTTAATAAACAAACTCATTAATAGTCCATAATGTTGAGTTACAAAATTAAGTTTTTGAGTGTAAACTTAATGATGGACACTGACAAATGTATGTAAAATATTAAAATGTGAGGAGAGACCTATTTTTATATTTATTCATTCTGTCTGTTTTCATTTCAATCATGATGAAATATGATGAAAATTTAAATGTCCTACGACATCACACTACATCTCCTTCATCTCTTTCTTTACATACTGTAGGTATAAGATTTGTTTGTTTCCTTCGTTTGATGAGAATTAAAATAGCATTTGAGAATTTATTGCTGAGTGAAATTTCATCAAAGGTCTATAAATCAAAATTTAAATCTCATTTCGTGACATGACTTTTATTGTCGAATGACTTGTGTGTTTGTATGACGGTTTTCGACTATAGTGCCAGTTGCTCATACAGAAAAGTCATTTAAAAATCATAAAAATGAAGAAAAGGCGCAGAAAATTCTATTTTTTGATATTCGAAAAGTGATTTAAGTTTTGAATTAAAAGAAATGAGGAAAAAATCTCTTTTCTTCGCATTCCTTTGACACACCGGCCAAAAAGAGCACAAACACTTGCCATCAAATCAATCAACTTTTATTGCCTTGCCTGACTGTGTTCTTCTTACTATTTATTTAAATGTGGCATTTCATACACTTGGCGTGCAAATAACTGACTGACTAGCTTAGATCTGAGCAGCCATCAAATGCTGAATGCAATTATTCAAGTTTTTAGTGCTATTAATATCATTATTATGATTATGATGGCTTGTACATGTGCTATAATAAATAAAAAGAAATGAGGAGAGATGCAAAGTGCAATTCACATATTTTCTAATTTTATGATTTATTATTGTTGCTTATTTTTAAGAGTAAATATTAATTAACATGCAGCAATAACAGCAACTGAGATTTATATTCTATATCTTGATGATGTAGGAGATACTTGCAATCCATCTATCATGATGAAATTTCACATTGCAATAATCTGAAATGAATAAATAATTATATTCACATGGGTAAATGGTCATCAAATCACTGCTATGCTGTATGTATGATCCATATTATATATATGCTATATGCAGTCAGTATATATGAGAGATACAGAAAGAGAAATTCGAGAGGAGTAAATGAATTGAGAGCAATGATATTTATTGCATTTAAATGTATAATTTATTGATGCCATTATTGCGATACATCAAAAAAAAAATAAATTTCTGCTTACAGATTTTTCTTCTTTATTAAACGAAATAAATCAATCAAAAAGGAATGAGAGAGATGCTTTTATTGCCTCGACATAAATACAGTAAATCATCAATAATATCAATATCAATAGTAATGCCAATAATGAATATGAATATGCAATATGAGAGTTTGTAAATTGTCTTAAGCAATAAGCATTAATCAATGAGGCTCCATTCGTTTGTCATTTTTACTCTCTTCTCTTCTTATTGCTGCTGCTGATGATCGTTCTTCCATCCAGAGTTGCTGTTCTGAAATTCACTTCTCTTCTTTTCTCTTTATCCAGTAGCTTGAGTCATCAGTATTGAAGGATAATGCACAGAAATCATAGGTTCAAGTCCTGGTAGAGCAAATTGTCATTTCATAGAATTTTTAAGACTTAACAACCTCCTTTTATAAGCTACAGATAATAATCTAGTTACAGAATAAGATAGGATTTAATTGCAAGTAGTTTTAGCCAGATCTAAGCTTGTATTGAGGTTTTGTCTACTCGTATCAAACACATTTCTTGTAGTGGCAATAAAGCAACTCTGTTTTGATCTTAGCAAATAAACAAGCAGCATTCAATCATTTGATTGAGTGGATATGACAGACAATCACAATCAGATAAAAGATTCAATGCAGGTGGACAGAAAATCATGAAAACAACCTTCATACACAAATACACGAATGCAAAATCACATGGACGTACATTCTAGATTGTAGGTAAATTATTATTCAATCAATTTTATAGACTTTCGATTTTCTCATATGCATATCTCTCACATATCAAATGCATGTCCATCAAATCGCTATTAAATGCCTCATTTCTCGGATTCAGCTATAAAATATTCATTTGTATTTAAAATCTAATTCGAAGTGCATAAAATATTGGAGCAAGTGCATATACGAATATCCATTCTCACATAATACGCGCTGCTGCTGCTGTCAATTGTGCATTTTGAAAAGCGCATAAAATTTTAATCACTCATTTATTCGTCCTTTTATTATTACTGTTGCTGCTGCTGTTGCTACCTTGCTGCCTTGTATATTATCAGACATTTACTTGTCAGACTAAAGTCAATTTAGATCGAATGACTTGCAAGTTGACTGACTGCAATTGGAAGTAAGTTTGATTGACTGCAATAAATGTTATTCAGTCTCTGTTTCCAACCATACGCGTACGTGCTATATGTGAATATGATGCATATAACAAGCATATGAAATACTTACTGACGATGACGATGATGATGTTTCTCACTCTGTGCTTTAAATGAACTGCAATGAAGATTGATTGACATGCCATCACTCAAAAATGTATTTTTTTATGCACATGCAAATTTTTTGAACTTCTCGCGTTCTTATTTCTTCTTGCTCATTTCTTGATTCTCCTCGTTTGTTTTTGCAGTCTTCAACTGCTTCGATGTGTGAAAAATTCATGCATTTTTATGTACAATAACATCGAAAAAAAAGAAGCATATATGCTGCTGCTGTTTCCACTATTTCAAATATCTGACTGACTGACTGACTGAATATATTCTGTGGCTGTCTAAATATTCCACAAATGAATCGTCGACTGCACAATATTTTATGCAGAACTACTAAAAAGAAAGAAAATTTATGAAATTGTGTGTGGAAGTCGATATAAGGAAAAGAAGTGAAAAGAATGATATGCAGGAAAGTGTATGTTATACCTAGCTAGCACACACATATGATATGAGCCTTCCGGTTTCGAAGAGAGTCGTTTTGTTTTTGTTATATTCGACATTCGCTGTTGTTGAAATGTGATTTTTTGAGGTTATATGAGTGCAAATGTTCAATTTTTCAATATTTTTTTAATTCGTTCTATTTTTAGATGAAAAATTTGTTTTCTTATTATTATGCAGCATAAAAATAAATGCATAATAAATGAATAAAATAATAAAAAGAAGAGAAATTAAAACGGAAGGAATGTTTGATATGTCAAAGTGGAAATTTCACATGTGAAGGCATAGAATGGAAAATTCTTTCAAGTTGGCATTTCAATTTTTCATTTATGTATGGAATGAGTAGACATAGACACATATACATATGGACAGATATATGAAAGACATTTGAATTTTTTTAAGGAAATGAAATTCTTCATTTGCAGCTACGTGAAGCTTGAACTAAATTCTGTTTTTTATATTGGCATAATATGACATGTGAATCTAGTTCCTGATTTTAATACCATATTTTATTCATAGCTTTATTATTGATATGTGGCAGAAATGTATCCGAGTTAGTCTGTACCAGCTTAGTCTATTCTTGTATTCTTGTGCCTTAATAGAAGTTCCAGAAGCAGCAATCTTTTGTGAAGGAACTGACAGAGAAGAAAAGTATTGATAAACAATAACAATAAAGGTGAAATATGATCGTATGATTGAAGATTGAGCGCATGTCTTCAACGTTCCTGAGAGTTGATTTGCTTTGTGTGGAGAGTGAAAGCAGTTCAATTCTCTATGCTGTGCCAATTTTCTTCTTATTCCTTCTCATTTTTTTTTGTTCTGCATCACACGATGAATGTGGATAAACAAAGCTCGTCAGGGGAAATTCTTCACTTCTTCTTCTCTTTTTGACTCTGAGCAGCACATAA